TGCTGGATCAGCCTAAAACCACGACAGATGTGAGTCCACATCTAGAGCGCTGTCTCTAGCTCTGAGCTCAGCAACAGAAGAAAAAGATTGACAAACTTGAGTGGGCAGAGGACCATCAAGAGGGTTAATAGGTTAAAGCACAGGATTTATGAGGAGATGACGAGAGAGCTAGGTTTGTTCAGATGGAAAAAGAGAAGGCTAATGATGATGGTGGTGTATCAAATCACTATTTCCAGTTACCTAAAGCAGGGTTATGAAGAAGATGACGTCAGACTGTTCTTGGAGATGTTTAGCGAAGTGTTGAGAGGTGATGGTTAAAAGTTGTATCAAGCAAAATTATGAGTGGACGGAAAGACAAAAACTTGCCAGATTGAGTTTAGTTAAGCACAAGACAATTATCCAGGCAGTGCAACCTCCTCCCTTGAAGATAAAGAAAGATTAGACTGTACAATGAACTGAAAAGACTGATCTAGCTTTGACATTAGCATTCTTTGAGCTAAAGAATGGTCTCCAGAGGTGCCTTCCAACCTAAATTATGTTTTGATTGTTGCAATGAAATAATTAGCAGGTGTGGACTATGAATAGACATGTGGAGGCTCCAGACTTCATTTATTGAGATGAAAACAGCAACAAACAATGTGCATTATGTTCTTCTCTGCTGACTAAAGGATAAACATGAAGATAATAATAAATGTGCATGGAATAGCAGGTGAGGTGGCTTCATATAGGCATATGAGACTACAGAACACTGAAGAAAGAACTGGAAAAAAGTAGCTAGGTGTTGGATTTTACATTTGCAGTATAGTGAATCAAAATACAGTTCTACAGCTTACGAAAGAGAAGACAAACAGCACCTTGAACCAGAAATACTCCCATTACTCATTACAGGAGACCTCAATAATGCAAGGGAGATATCAATGAAGAACAAATAGGTATCTTGGGATGCAGTCAACAAAAAGCTTTCTGAAATTATGTAGTAAATTGCTTTTGAGTTTGTACAGTCCACATCAGTCATGCAGCACTTATGCACCGCGCCAACTCAAAATTAAAATACTTGGCACTCATTCAAATATTCTGATTCTATTCATTCCACTGACAATGGGAAAACAGTGCTCCACAAATTATTAATTGAAGATATTCCCATATATACTTATTAATAATGTTCACCTCCAAAAGAGGCCCCGTGTCTGCAAAGTATCCAAGGAAAAGGTACACACACTGCATTTCTTTTCTAGAACTTTCACGTTTCAACATGGTAATGAAACAACGCTCTTTAATTCCCTCTATCCTTGGGAAGATAAAGGAGGGTGGGATGACATGATGCCTAGATTAGCAGGTTACAAGAGCTTCTGGGGTTTTGACAGGGTGAGGAGAGAGAAATATAAGTAGTTTGGCTGCTCTAGAGCATACCCTGCTTCCACCCAGACTCACATGCATGCTGAATCTGAGATTCAGGAAAGGAAGGAGAAAAGTTTCTTCAGGTCTCTTATAAGCTAGATTCTTGGAAAGGAAGAGTTGATTGTGTCTTGTTCTTTAACTCTCTAACTCTTGCTCTTATTTGTGAAGATTTCTCGATGAATCCAAGAATCATTCCAGTGCAATTAGTGACTTGTCACATATTCGTAGAAACACAGAATCATAGAATGATTTGTGCTGGAAGGGACCTTTAAACTCACCTAGTTCCAACCCCCCTGCCATGGGCAGGTATACCATATTAACTTCTACTGTCTTTAAAAGATGCTGTCAGCCTGATTAGATTCCTGGTTTAGAAGACAGGAAATAAATATGTTTTCTTACGGCAAAGTTTTCACTTTTTTTTCTTCTCTCTTTTTTTGTTTCCTCCTAGAAGTTTAATAATTGAAACTTACAAGTCTGCCACAGTTAGTGACTGGCCTTTAATGCAAACTGAATTATCAACTTTCAGAAACAAAGAATGACAAATTCAAGAGATAGTTGCTGAATACTGTAAAATTTCAGAAATAATGAGAGATTAATTGTTCAGAAGATGAAAGACCCTTCATGATGTACCCATCACCATTCTTACTGGAGAAATATGAGAATATTCAGAGATGGATTCAATCTTACGGACTTGAGTGAAGACAGTTAATGTGAGTAGTGGTTACCAGACACAGCAAAGATTTTATAGTCTGCTGGCTTTAGTGAAGCACACGATGTAGCGTGTGAACTAAGAAGATGTCAAAGCTTCAATAAAAGTTAAAGTTAAATGCCAAATAACCTCAAAAACCTACTTCAAAATTGATTCCTTCATCATTTACATAAGATAGTTCTCCTCATACATAAGACGTTGCAGAATATCCTTAGCCTCATTTACTGACTAATATTCTAGTTAAAATAACACATCCTATTGTTACGATAACTGCATTTTAAAGCTGACCAAACAAACAATAATAACACACTTATCTCATTTACCTATGTAATTTTGTCTAGATGATGCAAACTCCTCATCAGAGCTATGGTACTCTAAAAAGAACAGCTGCAAACCAGGGAAAAACCTACCTCAGTGGTGCTACTGGAAGGTTCCAGTCCAACCATATTGGCTTGTACTAGCTGCTGAAGAAGCTGTACTTGAGCCACGTTGAGGAAGAAATCTAGGTTTGTTGTCACATTCACCTCCAAAGAATGACCACACACCAAAATTTCCTGTGGAGAAATTAAGAGAAAATACTAGATAACAGTAGAGAAATAATTTCCACCTTCTATATAACTGTATTGTGATTTGCTGCTATAGTCAATGCTTCAACATTGCATATAGTATTAATTAGGTCTTTTTTGAAGAAAATGGTATCTCAGGCTTCTAAACAAGAATGTAGCTTATTTTTTGCTTTGTTTTCAACAGCATAACTACTAAGACAAATTTTGCAAGAAAAGAATCACGTGTGTGAGGTCTTGTTTCCATCTCTTTGTAGTATCAAACAGTGGACTGTCAGATTTTGTTTTTTATTTCCTGGCAATGACTACAATTCTCCTTTCCTTCCAAGAAAAGGATGTACTTTTTTTCTTTTTAACATAAACTCTGCTTGATTTATAATGAAATCATGTGTTGGAACTCACTGATAACCAGCTTAATTGATTTCTCTTTGCCTGTAAACCACTGTTAATACCTTGGCAAAGCCTAGCTGGATGGCCACTGTTTTATTGGTGTTATCTAGCACAAAAAATCCCTCTTCACCACTGTTGGCAAGCAATAAAGAGATGAAAAACAGAACCAACGCAGAAGCACTGCTTAATGAGTACTGTCCCTTTTCATGAGAATGTTGCACAATGTTCAAGCTCATCACAATCTAAACTAGATGTCTCCCTTCATCAGTGAATGTCACCCAGGGAACAGATAACAAGAAGACTGTATGCACAGAAAACACTGAAATTCTTGAACATAAACATTACTAAAGCTCTGAGTTTTTTTTTTTTTTTTGATTGAGAAACTTCTATGCATCCTATCTCCCTCAAGCTTTCTACTCCCTTTTCACATTAAAGAATTTTCCATCTGCCCTAGTGACGATGCTTTACACAAAATACGAAGCTGCTGTTTATTTCTTTCTATAACCATTAGCTATTATTTTCCAACAATGTACATGCGTTGCACGTTGCAATACACACCTAATATCCTTTGTAACCCTGTACCAGTTTTTATCTTCCCAGGAGGCAGATGTTATGAGAAATACTCCTTGTGAGCTGACAAAACTTTTGATATTTCCCCTACATAAAATGTTTTAAATTATTGAGCTACAAACTAATGCCTTTTGTGTGTAACATTCTTCACAGACTAATCATTAACAAGCTGATCCACAGACTGGTAAAAGTGATTGTTAAACCTGGAATACCTTGAAGTACCCACAATAATGGTTGCGGATCGATTGCTTTGTGGAAATTTGTGGGCTTGAAAATCTGGCTAAAAGAACTTGGCTCAACTTTCTTCTTATAGATAGTATACAGATTGCATTTCAGGCTTCTTTATGAGAAGCTTGTGAATACAACGTTTTGTAATGTTGTACGATAGCACCTCTTCTCAACACCTTCCCATCACAAATCTTTGAAAAATGTTGCTGGAAATCATTAAAGGATTTCCATTTTCTGAACTGCAAACAGACTTATCTACTTCTGGACAGGTTGCCTTTAATATCGAATGCTATACACAAATTATTTCTCCAGCAGAGAAAGAACATTTCAGCTAGTGATTAAGACTTTTTTTTTTTTTTTTCAGTTAGCAATCTCTGTATTTGAAAACATCTGGAAATAGCGGAATATTAAGATTATCCACATATTAAAAGTCATGGTATTTCTGTTCATGTTTTGTACTCACCTCTGGGTGTAAATTCTCTGCAGCATCGATTTTCGTAAAAATAATTGCAGGAGCTGCAGTTACTCGAACTGTGAAATCTGTTAAAATTGGAGTTAAAATTGCTCTCCTCTCCTGATGTCGCCTTATGCTAAAAAAAAATAAAAAATTATTAAATCACATTATAAATTGTTGAGAGGCAAAACCTCACATTCTTCTTTAAATCCAGCATGTAGCACAAAACTGCTTCAATATCAGTTTCTCACTTGGTTGTTACCTCAATAAGCATTAAATATAATCATTGTAAGTCATGTTAATTCCAATTCTAAAGGCAGACTTCTACCTTCATTTCACAGAAAAAGTATGTCTAAATATTTGACTCTTCAACCAATCTCCAGGTAGACAGGTTTGACATTTGACATTGCTTCTTCTACTCTTTAATGGACTATACAAAATCATTTGAACAAAGATACAAAATTTGGTATCAATATTTTTCAAACTTGCCTGTGGATGCCCTTCACTTTATACATAGCTCTCCTGAAGCCTGTACAATATTTGAATTCATGCATTAAAACTCCGTGGTGAAAAAATTCTGCTCACAACAACACATCTGACACAAAAACCAAAGACATGAAAAATTAAACTAGCAAACCCCAGGAAACTGTAGGGCTTGCACACTAAATTTATAATAACTATTGCCCAAGATGTTTAAAATACCTGGAAAATGGAGGGATGTCAGTCCTCCTCCACTGCTTCTGTCACTGGTTGCTCTTAGTTGGTACCTTTTCATCTAAGTATCAATGTTTGCTTGCCAAAAATATTTGTGCCAATAAACTCGATAATTACATTTGTTTTCCAGTTAGGTGTTTATTTTTTTTTTCCCTTAACCAAACAGTAAGCCTAGAGGCACAACCCTGTTACAGATGGATCACTAATAGCTTATGACAACACATTCCAAATAGCCAGAATCTTCTGGGTCAGGTCAAATAAACTATTGCCACAAAACGCCATCTGAGAGCCTCTGATCAGGAAAAAAAAAAAAAAGTAATGAGATCAAGATGGTGCTCAGCCCCTAAAAGAGGATACAGTTCAAATTCCTGGGAGAACCCTTCCATCAAGATGATTTTTTGATAATTCTTTTTACCTATCATCATTTACAGAAATGCTAAATTCCTGCATTTCACCAAGGAGAACTCTAAAAATCACCATAAAGTTATTGGTACAAGTTAAGTTTTCCTATGCTTACAAAATAGAAAATTATCAACTGTGAAACAATATAGGTTAAAAGTATATACTAAATTACGCAACTATCTATCATGATATAAAAGAAAAGACTGAACTATACTTCCTATAGAAGAAGGGAACTGGTCTATGCAGGACTCCTCAGATACATCTGAATGTCAGTTAGGTACCCCTGTATTACCTTCAATGTCACAATTTCCAGTAATTGAGATGCAGCAGTTCAGGCACCAGCATAAATTGCACAAGTGAGCCAGACACATGACCTAGGCAATTAGTCCTTACCACCAGCTAGAGTTATCCATGTTAATGTCATTAAACAAGGTGGTTATTTGTCTGTCCATGCAGAAATCTCTGAACTGCGTGTGGAACAGGTAGCTAAAAATCTCTTGATTAAGAACAGGTATTGATATACATAGTCTAGTAAAGATAATGGATTCTGTTAAAAAGTACACAATCTCAAATGCTGATGGAGGCCAAAAAGAAATTAAACAGCTATCATAACTTGACTGTAATTCAGTCAAGTTCAAAAGATTCAACATCTATAGATGACAATTTGCTGCTTAGACTGTAGATTTTGATGCTTCAAATTTTACTAACAATTTGCTTAAGTGTCCCCAAAACACGTAGAAAGCATGGCGATCTATAAGGGAATATAAACTGTCAGATGTGGGTAGGCCTCAAAGCTTTTAAATTTATTTAGGACACCAGTATACAGAAGTTAACAGCAGATGCTACAGAGCTAGTATTTACTGAGCACATGTCTAATAAATTGTTGCTTCAAATGACCTTCACAAACAGTGCTGAGCAGGCTGCATGCTACCACAGGTAGTATGCAGAATGCTTAAGGGCAAGCCAGTTAGTGAGTGTGAGTAAACTACCGTCTTACATTTAACATTTTGGTCAGCTGTAGCTCTGCTGGTCTGTAACGATGGCTTTTAAAGCAAGATTAGTCTAATTAGATCTGCAAATTAGAAAGCAGACCAGTTTGTGGTTAGTGTACATCTTTAACTGAGAAAACGGTCTTAGATTTTGCCAATTCTACAAATGCTTCTCTCTCCCTGCCATCACCTTCATTTTAAATTTAAACCAGATGGCTTTCTACCCAATTCCTATTTCCCCTTCACAATAGTATGAGAAAGAAATGCCTTTGTTTTTGAGGAAAATGAAAGAGCTAATTAGTAGAACAATTCTATGAAAGAACACACAGCTATACATTAGAAAAGTTCCACTTGAAGGGGCATAAAACTTCTAGTAAGAATGATTTCAATATATGAAACAAAAGCAAGTTATTTGTTGAACCTCAAACCCACAACTGGTTCTCCTCAATCATTTTTCAGCTCATACATATTCCCATTTCTTAATTTTCAAATGTCATTCTAGTTAGATACACAGTACACTGCATCTTAAAAGACTTTTTTGATATTAGAGATTGATCGCTGATTTTTAAATTTTATTTTAAAGTCATCCTTACTTGGTATCCCTGTCCTGCTCTACTTACTACTTTCTGCATTTCTAGTTGGTGAATTTGAAGCTCAGCCAAATCAAGTATTAGCAAAATAATTCTAAGTACAAACAGAAGGCAAACAGAGCACAGTAAATAATGAAGGGAGAGGATATGAGAGAGAGCAGAAAAGGAACAAAGAAACAAATTCCACTTTGAATTATTAAGTCTTCCACACTGCACCTAAGTGCACTGTTAACTTAACACAGGTGTACGCCACATGAGCTTATGAAAAAACTTGATTGTGAAGAGCGTAATGATGGCTCTATGTCTGCAGCACATTCATTCCATGGTCATTTATGCATCTGTTATATATTTGTCTTGGAAAAAAAAGGAAAAGCTAGTACTTTTAGAGATGTTAAAGCAGTTGATCATCTACACTTAAAAGTACAGCACATTTGAAAGACCATATGCTAACGCAAAGCAACAAGGCAGCAAAGCAGTTTTGATAAGTCCTGGAGGTGCCTTTTACTCAGCACTGAATTTGGGCTATATGTGCACGATAACATGACCTCTGGTTATGGACTATAGATCCACATTTTAAAGCAAAGGACAAAAAGGGTCTCTTTCCTCAAAGGTTTACAATTTAAGTACAAGAAAAAACATACCTGCAGACAGGGAAGTAAAGGGGAACAACTAACAGCACTGTAGATAATGATATCCGTACAGTGGCAACCTGAAAGCTGTCTTACGAGTTCTTTATATTACGGTACAATAGAAACAAAATTTTTTGGAATGATTTGAAAGAAGACGTTGCAATAACTTTGCGAATGTTCACAGGAAATGCCTTTATAACATACAGGTTAGCCTAGGAGCAAGCAAGAAAGTGCTTCTTCAAAAATTAAATGCGTCAGCCCTGGTCACTGGTATGATGAGGTCTGATGAGCAATGAGTGCAGATGTGTCAAAGCAAATGAAAGAAAACACGTAAGAGGAAATGAACAGACACAGAAGTCAAGAAGTACCTAGAAAAAAAGACATATCTCATGACTTATATGACAAAAAATGTTGTGGGAAGAAAAGAGAAAGAAACGTGAAGAAGAGAAATTTGTAATCAAAGCAACAACATTTCATTACATCAAATCAAATCATCAGTATTTGATTACACCCACTCAGAAGCACGTTGAATTTATATGAGGAGGAAGGACTTGACAAAGAGATGATGCTGCACTAATCAAGGAGGTGTGATGATGCGAGACCTAATAAGCTGTGAAAATACACAAGAAGGACTATAACTTGGCTGCCTTATGTGACTAATTGAAACAAACAGAAAATACTGGTCAGTAAGAGCTAAACATAATCTCGATGTGAAACTTCAAAATTTTTGTCTTAATCATAGAATCATCATAATCACACCTTAATTATAATTTTTTTCTTAATAATATCATAGAATCATAGAATGGTTTGGGTTGGAAGGGACCTCAAAGATCATCTAGTTCCAACCCCCCTGCCATGGGCAGGGAAACCCTCCACTACACCATGTTGCTCAAAGCCTCATCCAACCTTACCTTGAACACTTCCAGGGATGGGGCATCCACAATTTCTCTGGGCAACCTGTTCCAGGGCCTCATCACCCTCAGTGTGAAAACTTTCTCCTATATCTAATCTAAATCTCCCCTCTTTCAGTTTAAAGCCATTACCCCTTGTCCTATCACTACATGCCCTTGTTAAATGTCCCTCTCCAGCTTTCCCATAGGCCCCCTTTAAGTACTAGAAGGCTGCGATAAGATCATCCCAGAGCCTTCTCTTCTCCAGGCTGAACAGCCCCAATTCTCTCAGCCTGTCTTCATAGCAGAGGTATTCCAGCCCTCCATCATCTTCGTGGCCCTCCGCTGGACCCACTCCAGCAGCTCCATGTCCTTCTTGTGTTGGCGACTCCAGAGCTGAACAACAGTATTCCAGGTGGGGTCTCATGAGAGCAGAGTAGAGGGGCAGAATCACTTCCCTCGACCTGCTGGTCACGCTTCTTTGGATGCAGCCCAGGATACGGTTGGCTTTCTGGGCTGCAAGGACACGTTGCCAGCTCATGTTGAGCTTCTCATCCACCAGCACTCCCAAGTCTTTTTCCTCAGGGCTGCTCTCAATCCATTCTCCGCCCAGCCTGTACTTGTGTTTGGGATTGCCCTGACCCATGTGCAGGACCTTGCACTTGGCCTAGTCGAACTTCATGAGGTTCACACAGGCCCACTTCTCCAGCCTGTCAAGGTCCCTCTGGATGGCATCCCTTCCCTCCAGTGTGTCCACAACACCACATAACTTGGTGTCATCTGCAAACTTGCTGAGGGTGCACTCAATCCCACTGTCCATGTCTCCAACAAAGATGTTAAATAGCTCTGGTCCTGGTACTGACCCCTGAGGAACACCACTCGTCACTGGTCTCCACTTGGACATTGAACCATTGACCACAAC